TCTTTGCAGTTACTGCTACGTTCGACTTCCGTGCCTCATTTGGGATATGGTCTAGTCTTTCTTCTTTGCCACTACTGACCTGTCTGAGAGCTATGCTGATCTCTTCATTTGTTGATGGGCGAACATTGATTGTGAGGTCCGTGAATGTTGCTTCGTTGTTGGGTGGGTACATTAGGTTATATCTTTCCATTTCTTTAGCAACTTGGATGACTCTTCCTGTATCCCATACTGTTCGAACACTCCACGTACCTGAAAGAATGGTTGCGCTGGTTGTCAGAAGGGGCATCGGCCTCGTGACTTCCGAGGGAACTTGGCTTTCATTATGAGGCGTCATAACTCTTCTGAAGGCAAACCCCCTAACTCTAAGGGCAGATTTGAAATGATTTGGATTATTATTTCTGGTTAGTGCTTTTTTAACGAGTAAGTTGCCAACTTCATGACTAACTCTCCTTCTTTATCCGGGCCTGGTACCAACAGTACCTACATAGGGGCTTCAGGCGGAGTTTTGGTAAACATATTATGGTAGATTATCTCGTTTGAAATATGGAAAGTAGTAATGCTAATGCTTCACTTTAGTAACCGGGAACACAACGTCATGACCGGTTGGTTTATAATCAGGGACTCCATCATTCAGCATCCATCTAAATGCCCCAACTATATATATATATATATGGTTAGTGCTGTTTATTGATCCGATTGATATAATGGTGATACTTTTTTACTTACTTCACTGATTATTATTCTTCCATCACAGAGTGATAAAGTTCATCTACTATTTTCCGCTTTTAATTTACCTCAGATCGGTTTCACTCGTTCTATAGGGAAATAAAAAATGTCATTTATGTAAATAATATTTGTTTATTTTCCACCTCAACTGCCATATTCGATTCTGCTTACTCAGCTTATTTAATTGTCTTATATTTTTGATGTACCATTATTCTTCTGTTAAAATCATTATTATGTATTTATAGCGATGTATTTTTTTCGAAATTCTGTGTTCTGAACTTGACTTTCCTTTGAAAAAACATCAGTTAGAACTATTGGTGTTCAGAAATGATCCTAAAAAATTCTCTGTTTAGTATAAAAAGCGCCAAGATTCATAGGATTATTTAGTTTCTGACAAAAAGTCATTCAGAGAAAACAATATTTTTGATGAAATCTATCACTGAAGCTGAAGCACGAAAAATAATTGTTTACTTAATAAGATAGAAACGCGAATCTTTGACAAATAATAGTAAATGATAAGTATGGACGATTAGACAGAGTAGGGTATTAAATTTCAATTAGTGAATATTAGAACAGTGTATAGCCTTCTACAAAAGAATAAAAACTTATCACCAGCTAGATGCCAAAACATTTTATCAATTTCGGTCACATTTCTACATCAGAAATGACTTTTAAAATCTAAAACTCGACTAAACATTTAGTTTTAAAAGTAACAATTTAAAAAAAACTTGTCCCTTGCGTGAGTTGAGGTTTAGCCGCTCATTTTTGTAGGTAAATAGAAAATGGAAGAATCTATAAGTAGAAAATCACACAACAAGGCTGGTTTCCAAAGACTACCTAACTTTTTCATCACTGAGACTGGTTACCAATTCTAACAAAAACAAAAGCCTGAACCAAATCACGACAAGCATCTTGAAAGAAATAACTCTTTTAAGCGTATCTACGTAACTGATCATGAAAGGCTTCTATACGTTATCCTCTTTTTTTGGCTGCATTAGATCTTTGAAAACAAAATCCTAAATTCATTTTTTTATTCAATAAAACTGGCTCATATTCCCCTCAAATATTTATGATCTTGAAGCTTATATTCAATGATTATTTAAAGTCATTATAAACAAAACATATGGACAAAAAATCCTGGGATGATAAAATTATTTTGTTCTTTTGTTTAAAATAAATCACGTGGAGATGAGCGCTTAAATAAAATCTTACAAATAGTAGATCAATGTTAAAATGTTATTGAAAATGGAAATAGGCTATTCTCTCCGGCTATCGTATTCAAGTATTCAAAAGTATGGTTGCATTTCCTCTAGAAAATGTAAAATTCAAGTGATGTTCGTTCAGTTAAATAATGAAAGTAATTTAAAAAGAAAAATTCAAAATTATGAATTCCCTTCTTGTATAAGAACTAGTTCAAAAATTATTTACTTTAACAGAAATGTCGTCATATCAATGAGCATCTGATCATGATAATTACTTATTACTAATAAGTGGGAGGAGGAAGGTGCCACGACAATAATTTCATAAACTGTAAAACGTGACATCGATTGTTTTGATGAACCAGAATGTTATTTTAGAAGACTTTTTGAACATCGTTTAAGGCAGCATAACTACTGAAAATACTGATTCAGAAAACCAAATTCAACAAAAGTCAAACTATGAAACCAGTGTTTATCTTTCCGTGGCAAAACATCGTTCTATATAAACTTTAGTGTAAACAAGGCTCAGTTCACCTTTGTTGTCAAATTATTGAGTTTTGAATTATTGATGTCAGATAACGAAATCAAGATTAAGTCTTACCATCAAAGTTGCATTATAAGGAAAAATACTGAACGGATTATATCTGGATTTGATTGTATAAATCTGAAAGTCAGTAACTGTTCAAATAACTCCATGAATGACCAGTTAAGTATTTAAAATCGTCTACATAATGTTATCAAGAATTTTTTAATTTCTATTCTCATTGATGATAATTTCATAATTGAAATGAAGCTTTTTCCGACGTTAATTTATTTGAATAAACGTAATTGAAAAGATTGATCAAAAGATTTTGTGAAAATATTCACACTTTACAATTTTCATCTCCATTATCATAAAACTCAATTATGTCTGACAGCACGTTCATTTATTACCATAATTAGATAAAACGGTTGTCTATGATCTCAATGTTCTTTCCGCAGTAACGATAAATGAATTTTGTGTAGGTTCTTGCCGAAATTGTTAACTACTAATAAAACAGTTTCTTCTAACTTCCTAAGCGATTTTGACCGATATTAATTAGTACTACAATAACAAATCTTAATACTTGATTACAACAAAAGATGATTTGCTTTTATATCAGAAAACTTACTGACAAAGTTTACTTTTCTTTTTAATGAATAATACCTTTGTATTGGTTCGTTTCTAGTAGCTAATTTAAAAAATCTGAGGTTTAATTATTACTTAGTCATCCAGACACTTATGTTACGAAAATATATGGAACATCAACTCCGTTTAACCAACTAGGAACAAATCAGTGGATGTGGGTTTAGAGTTGAATCATCAGAATGAAATAGGAAAAAATAGTTTATTGACAAAGATATAAAACTTTAAATAAAATAAAATACTTTCCTGAGTACAGTTTTCAATACATACTGATAGTAATAGAGTCCGTGACAAATAATTCTCCAAATTTACGATCCATCAGTAGATTTCATGAAGCAGTGTACAATGAACCATAGAACTTCTGGTTTCTCAGAAAACCCAACGTATTTACATAACTGATTTGAATAATAGTTACCTGGATTTTGAATTTATAGTATCCATATCATTCAATATCGTTGGTTGTTAATAATCTTTGGAAAATCGAATTCCTGTTGTTTTTTCCACCTGGTTGGTTTTCGAAGACGACTATTTATGGTTTGAAGATATTTTCTAGCATAAAATAATCAAAGCTTAACTACTTATAAAAACCACAAAATACTGAGGATATGTTATTAAAGTATAACGAACAAAGTGTCAACAGTAATCAGTCTGCTCAGTTTTTCCCAACTAAATAGTTTTTTATTAGCAGAGACGGATGCTAGAAAGTAAAATCCAGAATGCATGTTTTGGACTTTTCAGTTAGATGAACCTGTGACTGAATAATAAATATCGAGGCAATTCGCACAAGGTGCATCATACCTAAAGAAAATGATCAACTGCAATTCCAATCATCGATGGGAAGGTTCAAACAACCAATGCAAATGAATTAAATTTTCTACCGCCTATCAGTATGATATAATGAGTTATTTAACTGAAACAGAGACTAAAATATATGCTTTTCATTGAAGCAATCACTCATGGCTGAGGTGAAGTTCTTAACAACCAGACATTGTAGTAAACGACCCATGGTAAAACTGTTAAAAAAATATTATTCATATTCAATAACAAACAATATCATTTTAAAACCATATTCAAATTTCAAAACTGAGCTATATTTTTAACACTATAGAAATTTTCATTCTACCAGTACTACATTTTTATTCAATCATTCAATGATCAACAATTGATCTAAACAATTGAAACATTTATCACAGAGAAATTTTTATTACATTTTATTTGATTCTATGATTGATAGTTATAAAACTGGAAAGTTAACAAGTTTCAATATACACCAATCATCATAACAGCACTGATAGACCGCTCATTGGTTAACGTGATAATGAACCGAAAAAAATAAAAAAACTAAACTTATATTTGAAAATTATTAACATAAACTAAAAATTCTTACCGAATTTTCTACACACACACACACACACATGAAAAAAAAACTCAGCGATGCAAGTGCATGACATAAAAATAATTCCCGGTCTCCTTTTTTTGTTTTTATCATCTGACATCAATTAATGATTAGATTAGAAGTAAATAACAAAAAATTAGATCACATAAAAAAATTCTTTTTTACAGAAAAATAAACAAATGACCCGACCAGAAAAGAAAAAAAATAAACTTCTCCATATTACTTAGCTTTATTACTATTACTTGAAATATGAATAATGTAAATATTTTATTTTATTTTTTTTTGGGAGAATAAAATTTTTTTTAAAAAAAAACAGCATTGAATAACTAACTGTAATCCACAACTGATTATCCAATCTATGCAATATTCGTCTTTTTTTTCCTCTATCATATGTCTTATAAAGTAAACAGTTAGTTCATTTAATAATAACTATATACTGTATACATTATTTATTCATTTTATGCTTATTAACCAATCAAATTTTAATAAAATAATAACTTCAGTTCAAAAGAAAGTCATTTTAATGCATGAGACGACTGTGATGATGCCTTTTTTCAGTGTTTAAATGTAATCATTTAACAGAGAGATATCACTTCCCAATAGGTTGTTATATATATATAACATACTTAGAATTAAAGTTATTTTTTTAATTACATAAAAATTAATCATATAAATAAATATCGGAAATGAGCTCATTAACCAATCAATTAACAAAATGTAGCAGGCCAAAAAATTCAAAACATATTCGTTTTCATGGTGTTCCATCATTTTCACCATCTCTACTATCCAATCCATACTTGAATCAGTTAGATTTGTGCACTCCGGATTTATGCGTGAATTGTTCGTCTAATTTAGAAATTAATAATATTGTTCATTTAGATACAGTATTTGATTCAAAAATATCAAATTATTATAATATTCCATTGTGGAATAATCATTTCGCATTGGATTTAAATGAAAATCTTAAACAATATGCAATCACTTCTAAATTGGTGAATTTAAATTATCCTTTCAATGACAATGGAGTGTAAGTATCATTGAAAATTGATTAATGGTTTTTAAATTGATCTATAATTTACAAAATGTTAACATACAACAACAACAACAACACATAACTATCATGTGATTCTAGAAATTATTAGTCGAAAATAATTTGTGTTGAAATATCTTATCGATCGAAATAAGGATTCAATTGCTTATCAATGTTAAACTATTATTGCATTGATTGACTTCCAATATAAATATCATGAAATTGTTTGAAAAAATGAAGCTGTAGTGTTTTCGTAGGCTTTGTTGTTGTTGTTGTTGTTGTTGTTGTCACAATTAAGAATGTGTAGTAGATAAGCACACTGATGTATGCTCTATTGTTTAAATGACTAAAAAGCACTAGGAAAAGCCAACATTAATGTTATTATTATTGCATTAAATCAAATTTTTAACTTTACAATTAGTTTATTCCAGCAAATATTATGAGTTTAGAAATGAATATAGAAATTGGTGTGCAATAATAAATATTATGTAAAGGACCTATCGTAACTAGGTTTTGTGAAATTCACCACGTACACATAAGACGGGAATGTGGTCCTTTGTTAACGTTCGGTTATCCATACGTCCGCTAATGTTTTACTCAACATTTCAGTAAAGTGCTATTATCACTGCTTCATTTAGGTGATGTGTGATCTGTGTAACTCAAATATACTCACTGATCGACAGCTGAGTAAGCTGATGACAGCAACTCACTCTCAGTGCATCAAAATATCTATTCAGTCACTCTGGTAGTTAAATTGTAACATGATTGATATAATCTGATTTGTACCACAAATGATTTCAGTTGCTACTCCGTGTCCATGAAGTACGTAGCCATGTACTAAAACAGAAAGCAACTGAAAGGAATTATGATTTACGATATCTTATGATATATCTATTTCACTATCAACTTACTTCAATTCATGTGTTGCGACATTGTTAATAAAGGTGGCCTTAATGATTTGTTTACAAAATGACAAATGGAAACGACATACAATTCTGTTACCGAAAATGGGATTAACATTTAAAACTCAAAACGACATTTTCACCCACTAAAACAAACACTAAGTTTAATGTATGACATTTTGCATATATCGATTACTAAATTATTTTCTTAGTCAGTTATATTATTTATCAGAATATACAATCAATGCATAATTATCCAAGGTTTTATAGCTTTGATTATCGAATACAAGCGATCGAACTAGATTTTCCAATGGGTAGTAATAATGCCTAGTTATTTTCTTGTGAGATTCTTTAATCTCCTTTAATAGAAGATAATTTTTTCAAGAACATATGCGAAATGAATACTGAAGCTCCGCCACACATCTGCCATCACTCTTAAATCTGTTTGATAAAATGCTTGATGAACATAAAACTGATCCATTTTAGACAGAAATGATGTTTAGATTGTTTAGTGAAACCAAACGTTCTCTTCATCGAAAAGATTCATAAAGTTGAAAATCTTTGTCTTATGAATCGCTTGAAAAGATGATAATTGAAAGTATATTTGTCTTTCATATCATATGTCTGTATATAAAATGTATATATTCACATATATACCATTGAGCATTGAAATCACTTATGTATTATTATGAAAGTGTAGTCAACTAATATGGCAGTTTAAGTTAAGATCGTATTTGATCTTCCTCATATTGATAACAAATATTTCTGCTAAAGTATTAAGTACCACGTTTTAAGCTAATTCAAGCAAAGAGTGATGCAAGACGAACATAGAGAAGGGGGGGAGTGAGAATAAGAAGAGATATTTTTAATAGTTATCAACTATCAGATATTTATACAATTCTATACATGTTGATATAAATATGTTGTGTCAAGTAAGGTGAGTGGGTGTCTAATATGGTGTACCTTTATAAAATATTTGCAGTCATATATGTATTTATCATACTGACAATAATACAATACAGCATACCATTTGAAGAAAACGTAAACCTTTTCCAAGAAAATCGATTCGTTCGTTGTCAATATGACGATAATCGTTATTATTTATAAATCAAACATATATGTATGCATGCATGTGTATATTATGAATAACAATTTTTATAGCTACCGTAACATATAAAATGTATTCAAAATTTATCAGTGCTTACAGAAAGAATCTAAGATTAGTAAGAATATTATTAATAATCATAATCATTGTGATAATATCACTTTAAATCTATATATGTTAATAAATATCTATGCAGTACACGATTCAAAATAAGCAAGAATTAAACAAAGATCACGTAGCTGTGAGATTTGATGACAATAACGTGGAAAATGTTATAACGTAAGTTACATTTCGTGGACACTTTATAAACTAACTGAAAACATTGGTTATGTTTGATCTTTTAATAAAATTAATAAATTGTCTTTTCAGTAAGTCAATGCACATATATTTATTTTGGGGCAGAGTTTAGGAGGTTTGTGTTTTTACTCTGCCCCAAAATATCGTCACAGTGCTCACTAGTTACTAGCTTCGTGAGGAAATTCTCGGAGTTCTAGTTGAGAAGACGTGACCAATGGAGTTCAATCCTGTCGGGTGTAGGCAGTAACTACCAAAGACAAATAGGTGAGGTCGCGCAAAATCCCTAGATCAATCAGAGTTAGACATTAACACCGTTAGATGCCGACGCAGTGGTCCGATGGTTAGGCGTTCGCTCACAATACCGATGGTCCCGGGTTCGAATCCTGGGAAGAGCAGGAGTCGTGGACGAAACGGCCGTCCAGTGCTTCCAGGTTTCTAATGGTGGTCTAACAATGATTGATTGATGATTTCAAATATACATTTATGTCTTTCTTATAAGTGAGATTAGTATTAATAAACGTGTATTTGTTTGAGATGAGTTTTGAACAGCAGAAGTTATAAATTCTACTAATTATTTTTAAATTTTTCTCTGCATCATATATACACTTTAATATTTTCTGTCTGTAATTATTTTTTCATATTATTCAATGAATTTCCTTAATTAGTTAACTACTGTTTCAGTTAATTATGTCCTGTCAAGAATAATATTCATACATACGGTAATAAACACAAATCTTTTAGTTGCAGGAAGTATTGTTCAATGGATTCATTCCAATTTCGGACTGTTTATTTGTTTATATCCATGAAACAAATAAAATCTAGATCTTACGGCGTAATCCACATCCTTCTGAAGCATTTCTAACTGATCTAGTTACACAATGAAAACTGAATAACAAATTTGGCTACCTGCGCAAACACTGTCATCCAGTTTTTAATTGAATGATTTATGAGTAGTAGATTATTATAACATGACTAAGTAGTCTTAATGGAATTCTTTTAAATAAGCACGTTGTGATATGGTCATTTTATCAAAGTTTTTGATATAACAGGCACTAGTTTTTGATATTCCATAGGTGGGTGTATTAGGCAGCGAATTCCGCTACACGATTTCGGGTTAACTGGCACCAACATTAATCAATCAGTCGTTCGGTGCCCAAAAAGCTCAGCAATAATGTCTTCGACTGCCGAAATGACTAAACAGATTGACAGATATGATCAGTTCATCCAAGATATAAGTAGTAATAAATCTGACTACTTTTAACCTATAAATATTAATGGGTAGTTTCAACCGAAATTCCGAAATCACAATTATTATTACATATTGACTGAAGCAGGAAATGTAAACTACTAAGTTCAAACTCAGTTGTCTTTGGTTTCTCAGACGAGAATTAGTATCAGAGTTCAAACTCATTCATAGCTTGAAGTTCATACTGTTGCGAATTTCAAAACTTCAGAAACCTTTCAGACTAACACAATATAAACATGATAAAAATTCCAAGCAAATTTTCAATTATTATCTTCTTTAACAAGCTTAATTTGTTGTTATGTATTACAATAATTAATGTGATCTTGACTAGAGACTATGTTTACACATTATCTCTAGATAAAGGTATGAACTGGACACACACATACAGACAACTACATCTTCATCTGACAGTCTGAATACATTCCTCATTATATTTTGATTTTGTACTTCAAAATAACTTTGACTACACTATTATTGAAAATCAGGCAACAATAGACAGTTGATTTTGATTTATTAACTATCGTAAAAACTTTTCATTGTTTTATTTTTTAGACATAAGATTTCTGAAAAACCTCATTGTAAGAGATGTAATGAACCATTTAATCAAGATGAAAATATTGTCTGCGTTAAAGATGGCGTCTATCATCCAACCTGTTTTGTGTAAGTTTAAATTTTTCACAAATATCCCTTGGTTATGACATAAAAACTCTAAAATAAAGTGATAGGTAGTAACTACAGATGTGTACAGAAAGCTCAACTACTTTAGCAAAGTCATAAAACTGTTTTTGAAAGAACACCAACAAAAACTTATTTATAGTAGTTTTTTGAATCTTCCCACTGATATTAATTTTTGAGACTCATCAACCTCTCTAGTTATGTATACATCTTGAAAGGATTAACTTTGCTCACCAAGAGGTTTGTAATGAATCCCATTGTGGACAAGAACTCTGGATTTTAGGTACATTGAGGTGATGAGTTCCAAAGAGTACGATAGGCGAGTCCTGGATTCGATTGCTAGCCATCATCCAAATACGAAATATCATAGTTTCGGTAACAAGGAAATCAATTACCTACTATATTTAATTGTTTAAAATATTGGTTGCTTAGTACACGGCACAATACGATAATCGACACTTAGGTGTAGTTAGATGCAGATTATTGAATAGATGAATAATGCAAGAGAAGTTCATACTTTAGTAGCTAATTACTGTTAAAGACTGACACTTGTAAAGTGTTAAAAAATATAATGAATTGTTCTGTTTGTTGATAACTGAACGTGAGTTAGCTGAACATGATTTCGCAGTAGCGTTAACTTTATTCACTAGTTTATTCATGGTACGAGTATCAACAGAAATGTAATTATGTGTATACACTATAGATCTGAAAGGATTTGTAGAAGGATTTATAAATAAAGTTAATATTCAACGAATAACAATCATCAATGGGGTTCAGTTTAATCATACTTAATGGTGTTCTGTGAGCGATGAACTTTAGTTACAAATATTACCATCAACTATACTTTAGAAAATTGGATTTCGGTTTGACAAGCAAAATGTTAAGTTTTCCTTGTGCCTGTTACCCCTAATAAAGCATAGGCTGCCGACCAGCATTATCCAACCCACTCTGTGATCAGCCGTCGTTTCCAGTTCTGTCCAATCGCTATTCATTCTTTTGATATCTGTCCTGTTTCGCAGTTGGGTAGTTTTTACAATTTGTATCTAGTCAACCTCCACCGTTTTTTCCTAATATCTTCCTCACCTGGAAACTGGTTTGTTCTCTGACATAGTTGGCTGTTAGCGATGGTGTCCAGTCCACGGATCCGTAGTATAAATAAATACATGTATCTTATGGATAATAGGTTTTGCAGCTCTCCAAGTTTCGTTCTCCACAATAGAACGGTTCTGATATTCGTATTGAAAGCCGTGACTTTGCTACTGGCTAACAGACAGTTTGTGCACTTCTTTTTGTATCCCCTAACTTTGCGTTCGCATCAGATCCATCTTTTTTATCAATGATGCTGTTGGGTAGGTAAAGGTATCTGGACGTTCCAAAGCTTTTCCATTAGCGTGAGTTGGATTGTGCATGTTTTGTTGTAAGGGAAGATCTTTCCTTTTCTCTTTTGTATTTTGAGACGTACAGCTGTAGAGACTGCTGCTACACTGGCCGTCTTCATCAGGATCTGTTGCTGTGTGAAATGGAAGAACGAAGTCATCCCAAAAGTTCAGATCGTCTAGGTACACCACTTTGTCGAAGAAACCTCCATAACTTCATCCTTTCCACACTGTCAAATGCTTTCTCATAGTCATTCTACTTATTCTACTTGCTTGTTTGTTTCGGTGTATTCATCCAGTGCCTTTGTTCTCTCTGCTCCTATTCGTCTGTTTCTAATTGCTCTCTTCTTGTAAGTCCGTTCATGAATCTTATCCAGTGTATCGTCAGTGATCCATTACTTGTGACGGCGCACGTAGTCTCAAAACCATATGATATGCTAAAGTCATTGCGTCTTTGATTCTTTTGAGTTGTTCTGCACAGCATATTTCTCTCCACCGAGTAGATGATGAAACGCTTGAAACCTATTGCTGGTGGCTATCTTGAATTCGTTAAGTTTGACTGAAGAAAGGCACTATTAGAATATTGTTAGGCTTTGCGCCCTATTGGCCAGTGCTTCTTTAGTTTCGGCTTTATCTTGACTACCAAAAAATGATGATCTGAAGATATGTCAGCTCCTCTCTTAGTTCTAACATCAGCCATGGTTCTTCAGATCTATTTATTGATACAGATATGGTCAGTTTGGTTCTGTATAGTGTGATCGGGTGAAACACATGTAGCTTTGATTATGCATATGTTTGGAAATATTGTGCCTCCGATGAACGTTTAGTGAAGACACAATCTCTCAGAATTCCCTTTAATTTATCAAAGTCCATATCGTCCCATGATGCTTTCGTATCCATTATTGTTCATCCCAACCTTGAAGTTTGGGTCTCCCGTCAGAACAGTGAAATCCATTGCTGAGCATTTCTCAATGACTGACTGAAGCCTCATGCAAAATTGATCCTTAACACCCTAATTACTATCGTTGGTAGATTACATTCATAGTAATCCACTCGTTTTTTGTCTTGAACAAAGCTTATGTGACCCTGAGTCCATAAACTTTCCATCATATATGTGCTTTTCCGGCTTTTTTTTGGACAAAATCCGTGCAACCCTTTGTGTGTATTTGTGCTAACGATCTTCATCAGCATCTCTCCTGAAGCTAATCATTTTCGTCCAGTTTAAGTCCAATGGGTTTCACTTATTCCAAGCTTCACCAGGTTGTATCTTTACACTTCCTCAGCAACTTGAATGGTTCTCTCGGTCTCCCAAATAAGGTGATTATTCTACGTCCCTATAATATTTTTTGCTCTTTTTGTGTGAAGCGGCATCGATCTCATAACTTCCAACGAAACTTGGCTTTCACAACGAGACACCATACCTTTCCTAACTAAAGACGCTTTGATTCCTAGAACCAGTTTAATGAATTCAATAAATGATTTTATTTGACAATTTTTTTAGCGAGTTCGTTTTCTACGAGATAGGTTTACTAACCCTATGCTTCAGACTGGTAGTAACATTTTATAAAGACTAGACGTAGTTAAAAATAAAATATTAAGTCACTTGAAACCAAATACGATGCATCACACTGTACGTAAAGAGAGCTAGGACTTTCCAATTTAATAACTCGGTCATAGTTTGTCATGCTGGAAAACTGACTCAACTACTTTGAGTTCTGAAAAATATCTATTTGTCCAGCTCTTGTAAAATTGGCATACTTCATGGCCAATCAAAGAAAATTGCATTTGGACACTCAGATGAATATAGCATGTAGCTTATTACTCTACGTAATTTTCATAATTTTTGATCGTTAGCTTTACAAGACTAAAACAGACTGCAGATACAAATTTTTATGCAGCAAACAAACTAGATCGGCAGTCAAAGCATTAGTTGAGAATGCAAACAGAATGTGCGGGAAATTTGTGCTTCAAGAAAGGTCAGTGTGATCAGATAAATACTCGTTAGATCTATCGTTAAGCACTGTTGGTGAATCGCAAACTGCAAATATCGAACTTCTGAAAACATTTTTGACTTTTCATCAATCAGATCATAGTTTTGTTAGTTTTCAGCTAAATTTGTAATTTACAATTAAAATGACCTCCGACCATGTCGTTTTCACCACTTATGTTTACTCACTTGGTCACCCTTCTATGGAACATGCTGTTAAGGACCCATAAAAGATTATAAACTTGACCCTTGAGGTCACATTGTATGAATGGTATCATTTTGATGCCGATGATTTGTTCATCACTAATATATATTTATTTGTTAGAAAATTTTTGAAGTAAAATGGATTCCCTCCATTTAGAACTAGTAAACCAGTATAGTATTTTTTCTGGTAGTGAGTGAACAAATCAAGTTTCATAAAATATATTAATTAATACATCATTTAAGCGTAAAATATTTCCAATTAATTACGTGTTATTGTTTCCGTTAACATTTGTTTACCTACTTTTGTGCAACTCTGAAGATGTACTCAGTGTTTTCAACCATTACCTGACAAAGAATTTTATGAGGTAAGTTAAACCCAACGATTTTCATTCAGTATTCATATTGAATTTAAAAAGCATATTGTTTCAGCTTATGAATCCGCTGAATCAGTGAAAGATTTGGCATAAAACATCATTCATAACTTCACTAGCTGACTTGTGATCTGTACCAGCCACTGGTAGTTAATACCAACCTTTATTCAGTAATCTATGGTATATTGACAGTGTTATGATGTTTCCTGTGATTGAATGCCAGCGATGCACATACTTGTACATGCACTGTTAGCTATTTTTCCCACTATTAAATAATGAAAATAGCGATCAGTATATTCACCACTTGAGACGCGAACGGTCATGTCACCTACGTGAAAAAAACTCTAAGCTTATAAGATGGGATTTTCTTCCTTTTTCTCAAACTTCTGTAGCGCCAAACCAAATATATATATATATAAATGTTGACAGCAATATATTTTTTGAAATGTATAAGTGCTCTAGATCTTTTGACTAAAATATGATTTTTTCTAATCCTGATTCAAGTTTAAGTTTTAGAAAACATCATAGAAGCATTAAGATACTAGCCTAAAACAATGTAAGTTATTGAACCTCTCAGTTGAATTAAACAAGTAGTTTAAATGGAGTCTTCATAAACGTGTTACTCATGAATAATACTGGATGATCGTTGCAGTAAAATGATGATAATTGATGAAAGTTAATAACGAAATTTCAACCTCAGGTTATAGACATTATATTATTAATTGATAGATTGAAAGGACCTGTGTTCTATTCCTAGTCTAATCACTAGAATTAATTACTTATATTTTGTACAAACTAGGACTGACCTAGTGTCCATATAGTTTTCAGTCGGCTTTCTGAAAGATATTTGTTTGTAACATAAATTAGACTCAAACAGAGCACTTCTCCAGTAAATCATTTATGTAAACAATCTAGCATTTGTAAAGAATAAGTAGATTACTAATGAAGATAGTTTCTTATAATTAAGTAAACTGTTGGGTTTCACTTTCGATCGTTATTGCCTTTTTAATTTCAGTTTGAAGGTCGAAGGTATTGCAAATATGATTTTCAAGTACTTTTTGCACCTTTCTGTTTTAAATGTGGTAAGTCAATGTTTATTCAACTGGATTGTTTACTTTTATTTTACTGGTTATCATAACTTTGAAATAAAGAAATTGTGTCTAATAAACGTCAGAATTTTAATCAATAACAATATTAATCTATTTTAAAAACGACCAAAATTATCTGCACCAGTTTTAACACAGAATAAGGTTTTAACAAAAAATGGCTGCAAATTTTAAAAATTAAAGGTATATCATTCGAAAAATTATCGTTCATAAATAAATTGAATGAATACTTGTCACAAGGATGCTAATACTGTGGAGCGTATTACCAAGGAAAATTTTCAACACTGTAGTCCAGATACATACGATAACAGATATTTTCCTTATAACTACAGAGTTATCTTTAATAAGTAGGTTAACGACAGAGCAGGTTTTATGAAAACGTAGCAGCGCTACAATAACATGTCATATAAGAAACCTTAGTTCCCTATTAATAATGATTGATATGTGGCATAGGACATTTTCAGTCCTTTAAAGTGTATTTATAATTACAAGCTACCAAAAAAGAAGAAAATTTAAACAACTTCAAAAGTCACTAGAAGATGTTTGTATATATATATATATATATATATATATATATATGTATATATGATTACGAAGTGAACGTTAAAGGTTTGATAAGATGTGAGCTTAACCAATTATGGCTTCATAATATTAGCTTGTAACAAAGTTAACATCACATTAAATATCAGTATGATGGGAGGTTTAGTATGTTAACTCAAACACAAGTGTCCACCCATTTAAGCTACTTAAAATTCCACTAGTGGGATGAGATTTACTAATTGGTGTAAACATTTCTAAGGTCAATTATGAAGAGTGAACAATATTGGAGTGTTATACTGACAATTGTAGTGAATTCGATGCATAGATAGATTGTGGCGGAGTGTTGTTTTCAAAACAATCCATGTAAAAGTAATATTTTGATATTCAGTGAAAAATCCTTTATCTCATCAATTTTAAGAAATTGATTCTATTGTTGAATGTCAATGCTTATTTGTTCAGAATGTAAAAGAAAAAGTTTAAAATTAGTTCAGGCAACCCTTTTATTAAGTACTTTCGCTAAGTACGTCCTAATATGCAGTCTAAAATATAATCTCTAACAAGAATACCAAGTGAAACAGTTACAATGGAATAGATTAGTGTAGAATAGTGTATGAATTAGTGAATTATAGTATCGCTCTATAGTACAGTAGAGTTTTATGCAATAAACATTTAAAACTTATATTACATTTGTGACATTTAGTTAATAATGTTAAATTTCTTCGATTTAGGTGAATTTATCATGTCAAAAGTAGTAAAAGCAATGAATCGAAGTTGGCATCCTGAATGTTTAATTTGTGATGAATGTGGTGTGCAACTTGTGAGCAAAGGATTTCAACGACATAATAATAGGCAAGTAGAATGATATGAATTAGTTTTCAAAATCATAAAACGATTAACCTTTTCTCAATGGCACATATTTCTTTACAATAAATCTATATCAGGTTTTACAGTTGTAAGTTTAAATTAATAATTCAACGAACTAGTCAGGTGTAAGGTGAATACAATTTTCAAAACTACCGCGAATGGTTAAGATATTATAGATAAAATTGAACTTATGTTGAAATGACTAGTGTGTTATGTTAACTTCCATAACTTTAAACTTCAATTAAAATTTTGAAATGAATAATCCAAATAAATATAGATAACTAATGGTGAGTGAAATAATAGAAATACATCTTCTGATCAGATCAATTGCTTCATCAAAGGGATAAGAATAAAGTAAAAAATGAATCAGTTTTTACCAGTTTTGGTGAATGAACAAGGCTCTTGTATCGCAGATTGATCAAAGTCTAAATTCCATCTCTAGTGGTCTGGAAAATATGTAGGCCATGATTTCGAACAATAGCTTAGCAGTAGGTATACACTGCTAAGATGCCTCATATTAGGACGAAACAACTTTTCAACAGTATCTCACTTGAAAAATAAGACATAAATCCATTTCAGTTTTTCAAGTGTTTTCGACTTTTACGATAGAAACAAGGCAAGATTATGTGAACTATGACAAAAATAGTATTTTAATTAAATACATTTAAGTTACGAACTTGTTGGTTATGTTAGATCCCCAGAACTCGCTTGATAAATATCTTTATTTCGGATTTATTTCATGGACCGATCATCTGACCTTGAGATCACATTTCCCACCAGGAAAATCCTTGGCTGTGATTGATTACTTTTTATATTAGTGTTCTATTTTTGTGACTGTCCCAAGGACTTCTCTATAGAGTGTAAATAAACGCAATTCGAGTGCTTGGATTCATTGTGTGCTGGCTGAGTGTTTGTAGTATACACTTTCTACGCTATATGAAGACTTCTTACTGATGAAATTTGGCCAAGTGATCAGAGTAGCCTACCTGGACGCTGGTTCATTGTTTTGTTCTCGTTAGTCGACTAAGGTGAACTCGTAATAGTTTAAGCATACCTAGAGACGAGCGTAACAGAAATGATAAAGAAGCAAAGAACTAAGTTACATCGATCAAAATATGTTTCGTATATTGACTTAAAGTGGCTTGATAATCATATTTGAGACAGACGGACCAACTTTTATGTTCTATTGGCGATCAGGCAACACTAGACAACCACTTATTTTAAATATGAGACTCCGAAATTTCTTGCACGAGTTATTGTTTGGAAAACATTGAGTATTAATTATTTGTGTGTTTAAATTAATAACGGCTAAATCAAAAGAGATAAATGCGTTTATTGTCTAGTAGTGCTATCAGTTATCGTGATATCCATAAAATCAAACACTGTAAAAGTAAACAAGTAATCAAACTATTAATGAGGTTAAACTCAAGTTTTTGTCTGGCGTCCACACTGCTTGATATAGTTAACCAAGACTGATTATGAACGCATTTAATTTTCCTTCTACCACTTTTATATTTTAGGATTACTTATTCTACATTTTTTAAGCTAAAAATCTCTGAAATGGATAACAGCATTAAACAAATCCCATTAACTTTAATATTTGCATACTGATAGCATAAAATATTTCAATAAGATTAGTACAAGTGATTAGACTACCATGGGACCAACAAAAATCTCTTCAACTCATAAACAAATGTAGTATATTTTCATGAATTATTTATTGCCACATAGTTCGCTTCCACTATCAATATCTGCTAGATTTTATTACTCTTTAAATATACATTTTACGATCATGTGTGTATACATTTCGTTTTAATTATATACACTGCATAAACACGTGCACACAGTAAGGTTTCTCTTAAAACCATCAGCAAACAAATCAATACACTTTCTTGAAAAGATAAAATGATTCAAACCAGATATTTTAGTCAAATTATCAGAGTGCAGTAGACAGAATTCATCAAACTCAACATAAATATTTTCTCGTATGGTCTATATTTCAGTATATTTTTGCATAGACCTGACATATTTTCAAATTCATTTGTGAATTTACAAAATGTATCGCTTTATTTCACTCGCCTCTGTCACTGAAGTTATGTTAATCATAGATAAGTAGTTCATGTGTACTCATTTTAAAATCTAACCATGGTTTCACTACATTGAAGGTATCGTTGAAGTCGAGTAGGAAACAAAGAAAATGAAATATATTGTTTTATAAAAAATTTTAAAAAGTTATTTGAATTTTCTTTCACATATTTCGGAAATAAACAAATCAACTGGTGTTATGGTGACCGGAATTCTTGAAATCCTAGTACTTCTATGCAACTGGATCCCAAAGCCATGCGTTTTTTCCCTTAATGTATCAAAAAAACAATTGTACATGAATAACAACGGTGAATACTAACTAAATAAACAAAATATTTAAAAATGCGTAAAACAATGTCTTTTTCAATTAGCACACCCAATAAAATTTGACTGGGAGACAGTTTTAATTAATTAAACATTTAAGAAAAATGAGCCAACTACCCGTCAAAAGAAAAGCATGTTCCTATCATGCAAGAAGTGTTATTCTATCCTTAAGATATAGATCAGCTCATTCAAGTCACAACTGGCTAATTAAGAGGAAAAAATTAATATGACTGCGACCGGAATAAAACATTGAATGAAACAAAATTACTGTCAGTGAAGAACTACTAAAAATAGAAGTAATACAATTCATAAAACAAATTTGTATGTAACACTTTGTCTTGAGTCCAAAATTAAGCACTATCCACGAAAATGGATCGTTGTAAAGAGCAACTATATACTTAAGATAAAGCAAAATATGAATATCATACAATAAGGCGAATGATTTTTCTCATAGGCAATCATCTTCATTCGAAAATACTGTCGAGAAATAACATTTTAAAAGGGTTAAGTATAAATTACATCATCGATTATTACTAACCATTAAATTTAAAATAATAGTTTTGTAATCAACGCAATTCATCAGTTTTTTGTTACTGAATTTCAACGATGATATTCCTGTTTTTACATGCATTTACAAGTTCTATTTTTATATGATAGGATTTATTTCCACTAATTCAGTAAATTACAAAATGTACCACTTGTAAGAAAAATGCTAATCATCAATACGTATTTGAAACATTTTGTTGATTGTTCACTCAATCTACTTGATTAACTATTTTTATGAGCTAAACACCTATAAATCTTACAGCATTCATTCACACTAAACTTTGATAAGTTTTAAGTGGTCAAAGATCTGACTGCAATGGAATATGCTTTGAAATAAATCTTCCTTTTAATTTCCTCATATCATTGGAAGTCAAACTTCGTTGTGGTAATGGCGGTTATTGAAAGCGCAATACCATTTTATTCGGATGAATTTATTGCATATGTTTACTTAATTAGACAAACAATAGAATGCGAATCAAAGGAAAATGAAGTGGAGAGGGCAGGTGGGCTTTTATTAAACAAATAATTCAAAATTTTGATCAATATCAGATCAACTACGTTTTTTCATTGTTCTGTCAAAACTTTAAAGCCTATTTCAACTGAATAATAATTACTTAAACTATTCAACTTTCTTTGTAAATAATTGTATCCTGAAAGATTTCCAGTATGGTAAACATTTTGTTTTCTAATGTTGTTTTGATAGAATCTTATGCAAAGATTGTTGGTCTGTTATATGCCAAGAATTAGTTGGATGTCATATTTGTCAAACATGCAATAAACCAATTGAATTGAATAAACATATCAAATTTATGGGTGATTTTCATCATCCACATCATTTTCATTGTTTTCATTGTAATGAAGAACTTGGTTTAGATGCATATGAACGTGGCAGTGAATTATACTGTCTTAAATGTATCAGTCGTTCTGGTATATCAATTTGTTCAGCCTGCAGGTAAGCAAATGATTGTTACCATTTTTGTTTTTCTAAATGTTAGATTAATTACAGAAAAAACTATTTTTTTTTTATTTTCTAGTTGGAATTATGTAGGGTTCGTCACTAGGTACGCTTGAAGCTATTACGAGTTCACCTTAGTCGACAAACGCGAACGAGACAATTACCAGCGTCCAGATAGGCTACCTTGAATCCCAAGCTGAAGATAGAAGACTTTGTAAGTGTAGAAAGTATATTCTACTAACACCCAGCAATCACAATACAATCGAGCACACAACTGTAGCACGCGTAATCAGCAGTCAAGGAAGGGCAGAGAGAATCTAAAATCACAACACACAAGGTTAATTCGACACCTCACACCAAGAGAGAACACGAGGTTGTTGTCACAGCATTCTTTTATTTCAAAATCAAATACGCGGGGTTTTTTGCAGGAATAGGGTGGGGTAGTGTACCAATGTCTTATGAGTCATCTTGTAGGTTTAGAGCACTCAGGGCTTGCTCTTCAGCTTCCAAAGCATTTGTGTTTGATCGCCCTGAAACAGAAAGAAAACAGAACAAGTTAGCAACATCATACATAGTGATTTTGACTCCGTTACACACCTCTCGTTTATTTATGCATCATAGAAACGTCCTTGGGACAGTTAAGAAAATAGCACACTAAAATACACAGCAGCCAAACACAGCCATGGATTTTCCTGGTGGGAAATGAAATCTCAAGGTCAACTGATCAGCCCATGCTGACAAACGTGAAATCCAAAATAAGGCATTTAACAAGCGAGTTTTGGGGATTTAACATCCCCAACAAATTATAACTAGTATATTATGTTGATTGGATAAAAGATCAAAATATTAAAACAGAAGACAGTAATTTGGATCAATTTACGCGTTTTATTCAGTTCAGATTCAAAAATAACTTATTTTATAAAAAAAATGTTTGATAGAAATGGTGACAAGGTAACGGTGTAGATGAAAGGAAAAAGAAACCATACGAACCATGTACGCGCGCAATCACAAGAGTGCTAATAATTTTCTTTCCCAGTATATCAGTAACCCTGTGATAAATATGAATAGTTAATTTCGGGATCTATCCACTTTTCCACTTTTTTGCCATACTTGTTTGCTTTCCTGTGAGTAAAGTCTTAATCTAGATATCATATTTAAGACAAAATACTCTTCAAAATTTTTTATGAAAAATAAATGTGTTGAACCACAAAGTAGTTTGTATCAACTTTATTTGTTTGGTAACACTTGCAAAGAATTTGATCAAGAGCCCATTTATAAAAAAGGGAAGTGAAACTGTTAAGTAGAACTTTCTATGCTACCCTACGGGTCAGCAAATACATAAGTTCTCCCTGAAATATCATAAATCTGCACTGTTTAAAAGTTTTCAGAAATTTTTCAGTCACCTTCGACATCTTTGAAATCTAGATTCAAAGATTCACCCATCCAATTTCAAACAAATATCTTTCTGGATCAATAATCTAGATATAAATAAATTATGACATTAACGGAATGGTGTTATTAGATAATGAATGAATGAATGTACTGCTATGTTCAAACACATATATACAACAGAAATGTTTTCCTTTAGACAAATCATTACTTATATAATATTGTTCTGTGTCTATCTTGAATAATACAAAATATTGGTTAATAAAGTTATACTTCGATGACGAAATTGACATTCTACATAATAAGTTTCTAACTTTAATTTTCTCTCATTTGTATCAATCTCTAAAAGCACACTACTTACTTACTTACTTACGCCTATTACCCTCAATGGAGCGTAGGCCAACGACCAGTATTCTCAAAACTACTCTGTCCTGAGCTTCCCATTCCGGTTCTGTCCAAGTTTTGTTCATTCTTTTCATGCCTGTCTCCGTTTCTCGACGTAATGTGTTCCTTGGCCTTCCTCTCTTCCTTTGACCATGGGGATTCCAAGTGAAGGTTTGTCTTGTGAGGCAGTTCGGTGCTTTCCGCAGTGTATGTTCTATCCACTTCCACTGCTTCTTCCTGATTTCCTCCTTCACTGGAACCTGGCTTGTTCTCTTTCAGAGAAGGCTGTTGCTGATGGTGTCTGGCCAACAAATCCGAAGTATTTTGCGTAGACAACTGTTCATAAATACTTGTATCTTCTTGATTATGGCTTTCGTAGTTCTCCAAGTTTCCGCCCCATTTAGTAGAACTGTCTTGACATTCGTATTGAAAATTCTGACTTTGGTGTTGATTGATATTTGTTTGGAGTTCCAGGTGTTGTTCAACTGCACAAATGCTGTCCTTACTTTGCCGATGCACGCCTTCATATATCCGTCAGATCCACCTTCATTGTCGTTGATGCTGCCCAGATAAGTAAAGGTTTTAACGTCCTCCAAGGCATCCCCATCCAGAGTGATTTGGTTGGCGCATGTTGTATTGTATCGCATAATCTTTCTTTTCCCTTTATGTATGTTGGGATCTGTGGCTGCTGAAGCTGCTGCTACATTAGTCGTCTTCTCTAGCATTTGTTTTTGTGTGTACGACAGAAGAGCCAGATCATCTGCAAAGTCCAGATTGTCCAGCTACATCCTAGTTGTCCATTGGATACCGTGCTTTCCTCCAGATGTTGACGATTCTCCCTCCTATTCATAACTGTTAAACTGAATATAATTACAGTAAACATTCAAAAGTGGAAGAATAACAGTTGGTATTCAAGTGATATCATGATATTTAAGTAACTGTTTAAAGTCGTGTTTATTGCACCCTTAATAAACTGGCATGTTTTATTAAATTTTAGCGAATATTTTGATTAAATTTTTTTAAAAGAAATTTAGTTATGGAAACAGATTTGTCGATTACACTTTGTTGTTTCTCTTCACTTTATTTCTCTTATTTAGACGACCAATAGAGGGTCGTATAGTTTGGGCACTTGGTAAAGTTTGGCATGTTGAACATTTTGTATGTCACCATTGTGAAATACCATTCATGGGTAGCAGATTTTATGAATGGCAAGGACACGCTTATTGTCTACTACATTATCAATCTAAAGCTGGAAGTGTTTGTCATACGTGCACAAAACCGGTTACTGGTATAATGGCTAAATTCACTAATAAAATTTATTGTCTTGAACACTTTGTTTGTTCACTGTGTGACAGAAAATTGGACGAAAAGTAAGTGTATCATTCAAGTTTCTTATTTTAAAGGTCTTTTCAGATAATTGACAACTTAAAAAGGTTAAACCTTTGAAAATAATTGCCTTGAGATAAATTAAATTGTTCTTCCCATCAATAATAATCCTAATTATTAATGTCAGATGGTAGATTGAAGAAAGATTACTTCGTTTAACAACCACATTGTTTGACTTGGTCGTTAGATTCTGATATGCTTTTAACATGAGAATATAAATTTGACTTTGATAAATTGTTCCCGGGGTTCTAGTGAGAAGTTATAACCGATAGGTTTCCGCACCGTTTTAGTGTGTCCACCGATAGCGCATTCATGCATCAGTATAACACTGAGTGTGTGTGTGTTTAATCATCTTACCTACTGCACTGTGTAGACGAAGGCAAAAGACCAGACCAAGGTAGCAAATTTTTGTATGTATAAAATTATAAATGTCGGTGGAAACAGAAAGAGCTTTCTCGAAACTTTATTCTAGATAGTTTCGGAAGTTGTAGTACTTTTCAGGGAATATTTCAGATCAAAATAAACAATTCAATAAATGTAAGTACTCATTTGAGATAGATGCGTAGTCATACTTTGATAGTCTTGCTTTTACCCACTGGTTGAACGTTAATTACTAATGTGCACTGAACTTAACCTTTGATAAGTCTATTCAGTTGGAATTTGAGGTGATATAATACAACGGAACAATTTCAGATCATGGAGCCTTACAGATCTTAAGCTTACAAAGTTACTCCATGCTAGTTGATATTCATAAAACCTAATTATCCATGAATAAAAGTTGATCGAAATTTGGCTGTAAATTCACGCTTGCAATTTGTTTTTCGACAGAATATTTCAAGCTTTTAGATTAACTACATGACTGGAGACAAAACAGATAATTTCATTTAAACGTTTATTTCCATGAAAGAAATTTACTATATGTATGAATATTTTGAATGTTATATTTATTTAGATCCAAACTGTATGAAATCGATTTGAAACCAGTATGTAATGACTGTTATAGCAGATTACCAATGCAGTGGAAGAAAATTCTAGCAAAAATTCATCGTGCAGATAGAACAAAATTGGAGTAATTAATGGTTGTTTGTATAATTACAGAAACGTAACAAGTCTACATTTATTGCGTACAACCGTTTAAGGAAGCTACTTTATTTCAAAAAAAAAAGAATGACTCGATAAACAAACTATGTATAAGTTACATTTCAATTTAAAAACATTTTTTATTTTTGATAGTATTTTTTTTTCTGAATGTACTCATAATTTTCACTTTTGTATTTCTATATTTTGATTAGTCTGTACCATAATTAGGTCGTAAATGAAAATGACACTTTTTGCTGAAATTAATGTAATTTCTGTTATTTTTTTGTTGAGCTATCGATTAGCAAACTGTGACGATAAAAAGAAACACTCAAGACCCCATGTTATTCAAAGAAGTGGTGTACAGTTTGGCACTTGATGTTATTCAGTTGACTACAAAGAAAGCGTCCGTATAATATCATTTATGGATAATCTTTCTATCAGCTAGTCAAGTGAAGGGAGAGACGAACGAGTATAAAGAGACCGTCATACTAAATATTATAGCTAAACTCTTCTTTCCACTTCTAAGTGAGCAGAATAAATTCAATAGATAATAACTAAAAATCACATTTTCTCAAGAAGCTTAGTTTTCGTATCTATCTAAGGATTAATACCATTTATTCAATATCGTTGTTAGTCAATAATATTAACTAAGTATAAGATTAAAAAACTATTGAATTGTTTTCAGAAGTACTCACAAAGACCTTGAAATATGATTTTTACTCATAACTTCAGTTCGGATGAGCGAAGAAATGTTTCTTCTAGACACTTAGAGTTTATTCATGATCTTCGATACCATTAGCGGAAAGAACTATCATTTACATTAGTCTATACGGATAGTTTTCAAGCAAGAAATCAAATGTCATTTTTTACCATTTTCTTGGCGTATGCATAGCTGAATTTCACTGGTTAAGAAAAAAATAGGAGAAAGCAGTGTAGTATAGTTAAACTTCAAATTTTCTAAAATCATATTGATATTTGACTTCATTAGGAAATGGATATAACCTTTCCTGAGTTAGATGTCTTTGATATCTATGAAAAGATCATAATGTCTAATATTCAATCAGTTATTATTCCATGTAACAGAATCGTAGCTTATTGATCAGAGTTAGTGTTCTCCTCATTTATAGTAGCCGACTTTCTGGGTGATAACTGATTTGTTTTACTTGTTCCTCCGAATCCTGTAACACGGATTGGAGTGGAATGACAAAAGTTATTCAAGTATTTTGAAGTTTTATTAGGATTTTGACGGTTATTAATAACCTAGAAGTTATAAAACTATCTGAATGGAAGATTGATCATTTTTTAGAATCGGTGACTCGTGAGGGTCAGTATTAAATGAACATTTTCGACATAAATTTTAGTTCATAGAACTATGTTGACTGTGTACTGCTGGTTGATGAGACCAATCGAATGTTGAAGATCAGTTCTTTAAAAATCTTATGAATAAAATTATTTTAATTAAACGATATTTTAAGATAAATAAATAAATCTACAAGGTGGTTATCACAAATCGAAGCTGTCTGAATTACACAGTTTCTAGAAATTAATTAAATTAGAGTAAATCTTTTTTCAAAATGTTGATATTAGTTTTTCCTTCGATGAAAATAACCAAATGGACTTAGAATAAATCGATTGAGGAACTATTTTAGTCAACTACAATAGCAAATATTTGAGTAAATTGAAACCTTATTGCCATCCTTCTGCTGGTGATAACTGTTGATTAACGACTTTCAATGATATAAATCCTAACTGTTCACATTAGTGCAGATGTGCTCTTTAATTTAGTTTAGAACATGAGTTTTCAGTATTCTCTCATTTATAACTTTTCATTGCTTATTTCTAAATCATATTCTTAATATTTGATCATTATTATCGTCACTGTGACATTAATTCTTAGTAATTTTTTACTATTCATCCAATTAATCTCAGTTAGTGGTGAGAGTGAGGTATCCTAACTTTGGCTAATGTTTATGTGTGTCGGATGATGTATTGACTACAACCAACTGATTGAGTGACTGTAGTTAGCATTCAAGGTGAACATAAATGTTAGTCATTCGTATTTTTACATTAGTTAAGAGATCTTTACTATTTTACATGTCACTACTCTATAATTTTGTCCATCAGTCAATATGAACAGTCAAACGTGTCGGTAAATATCGCTTACATCATTCTGAAAATTGGATCTAGTTAGTTAAAGCCGTTCTAAAATTATTATCAATTAAATGAATTTAGAAATTTCATTTCAGATGGTTGTACTGACGTTTTACAGAATTCTATATCAAAAACAAACATAAAATATACACTTGAAACTACCGGTAATTACTGTACAATATTTATCAATGTAAGAAAGAGATTTGTATGGTGAAATGTATCAGATATGAACCTTATGTCGTTCTCGTTATTGGTTTTATCCTAACTTGTAAGTAGCTTGATGTTAAAGTTGTGTAGTGAATAGAACTCATCAAAAAAATTTGAAAAACAAACGCATGCACTTAAACCTGTTAGGATATTCGTCAAATAACCTATGAGAATTATTGATCAGTTCCTATTGCTGAATTCCTACTGGTCAATAGTATGGTCGTCACAGGTATTAATGTCTCTTCACTTATTGGTCATCTTAACTGTCAATGTCACAGACTTCGATACTGTTTCCTATTCGACCTAAATGTATAAATACGCATTATCTGTAACGTTTTACAACCTGAATCCTTAGTCCGAGATCCAGATTCTTTTCTGGACTCGGATCTCGTGCTTCCTAGATGCTTGTAGAATACAGATTCTACCTCATGTCAAGTCTTCTTCTTTCACTCACTGGGGGTTGGAACACTCGGATTAGAGTAGCCTGTCGTGTCGCCGGACCTACGATCCTCGCTCTCATTTCCCGACTAAGGTAAACCCGTTATAGTTCAAGCATATCAAATTGACATGTTTATGTACATTCATAGCAAAACGAAGACAAACTAAACTTTGAACTAAATCAGTGGCATTATGGATCTCAAGTAACTAAGTCACAACATTATCACATCTGCAGTAGTCATTTTGTTATAAACTCATGAGAGCTCTCATTTTATATTTTCCCATAAAAATAACTTGAAATTCTTCTTTTAGAAAGCAAGCAAATCTACACATACTTAAGTATCATTATATGAACTGCGAAGTTTAATTTCTATGAACTATGTATGATAAGTGAGTCAACATATCAAATGTAATCCTTTTAAACAACACTTACTTTATTATTACCAAAAAAAAGTTAGAATGGCATAACTCCTCCCTTATTCTATTTTAAAATTTGGAAAAATAATTGGAAATCTTTAAGCTTTGAAAATTAGATCTCAATCTTTGCGGGTTTTCCAAAATAAATAAATACATTGTCTGACATTGAAATATGTTGCTGGATTGTGATAAATTCTAATCTTAAAATTTGTAATCACAGTTATAAAAGTAGGTTGAGAGGAAGTTATTTATCATTGAGTGTCAAAACAAATCTCCATTTCAACATTTGGTCGCTCTTAGGGTGCAAGAATGGAAACAGAAGACAAAGCACACTTCAAACAGTAACTCCAACGATTTCTATCGTAAATTTATTTCATTTTACCTTGCTCTAGGTTCATCGAAACCCAAATGATCATGAAATGTTGAAGTTAGCTTATGCAGTGATGGTTGATCATACAATCTGTGTGTACTAGCAGTTTTTCAACGAAAATTCGCGCAAAATATTTGTATTAGTCAAGTACGCTACTTATTATAAATTAGTAGCTTATCACTTGTCTGAAAAGCATACGCACATTAAGATTGATTAGTCCTGTATTTACTAAATACAAATAAGTAGAATGAAGAGAGCAGTCCACACATTACTTTTCTATGACTGGAAAAATTTATATGCAGTGTTTTCGGTTATCATCAGACGGCTTTCAATAAAGAAATGGGGAATTTAAGAAGTAATTTGGTGTATTTTTACTGTTCACTTTGTAATTTTAACATCATTCACCATCAGATCCTCATTTTGAACAAAATGCTTGTACGTTTTTACTGTATTTCAAAGATATCCTTTACAAGAGTTAGATGTTCTTGCATACTATTTCTCGTACTTTATTTCGTTCCTAATGTAGGGGATTTGGGGAGATAGCGTTATTCTTATTGTTATCTTTGCTTATTATTAGATTACTATTTGTTAATTATCAGTAGAGATAGATGGCGGCTAGCAGTGAAATCCAAGACATGCGTTTTACCCTCCTTGGAATCGGTCATCAGGATTCACCTGCATCCCAGAGTCGATATTCACTCTGGCATTCAAATTCACTATCATTCACTTTAAACGCCGTTGTATCATTCACTTAGCTATTGAGTCCAGATAGCCGTTCTCATATTCAGTGGGATGAAAATTAATTCATTTGTATTGGTTGTTCAAATCTCATTAATGTTAAGTGTTGCCATCCATCAGTCACTTTTAGCATATGTGAATCTTGTGCAGACTATATCGATATGACCATTAAGTCCTTAGTACATCCAGTTGACGAGTTCTAAATACGACAAAACGTGCATGCTGCATTAAACTGCTAGCGAACTTCCATCGGTGCATATAATACTATTTCTATCATATGAAGTAAGATACTTACTTTTCATTAGGACCGCTATAAATAAAATATTATCATGAATATTTATCTAGATGTTATTTTATCAAACATCGATTAATGTTATGTTTATTGAAGCAAATTATTTCTGTATTATTAATTACAGTTGTACATTTATGAATAAATTTGAATAGTAGTCGAAATTGTTAAACAAATTACTGTACACAAACAACTCAAACTAAACAACTGAAATTGATTGATGTACTTGTACAGATGATCAATCAACCTTAATAATGAATGAGTTATTTGCTTTACTCTATTATGCTTGGAAGTAATCTTTTTATTAAGATAAGTGTGAAATGTAATCTGTGTCTGTATGTCTCTGAAAAAAGTGTAAGCATGAAAACAAAATGTAACTAGAAGACTTAGCAATAACATACTAGTGGAAGTCAACCCGTTTTAATAATAATAATAATAATAATAATGATAATAGTAATAATAATAATAAGAAGAAGAAGAAGAAGAAGGAGAAGAAACTAGTATTGAATAACTAAATTTAACCAATCTGTCGTTACTTAAGTAATTAATTATCGACGCTTATATACATTATTAACACATTAATGTATGCATGAATTCATGTGTGTTCATTAGTGTGTGTACGCTAGTTTGTGTATGTGTGTTTGT